AAAACTTTCTGATCATGAAATGAGGCTTTCCTAATAGAACTAAGCTTCCTGAGCTAATGCAGTACCTCCTTCTCCTTAGGCCATATCAAATCTTCATTTTTTTCTTTTTCTTTCTTTTTTTGTGGGTGGGTACCAGGGATTGAATTCAGGGCCACTGGACCACTGAGCCCCATCCCCAGCCCTATTTTGTATTTTATTTAGAGACAGGGTCTCCTTGAGTTGCTTAGCACCTTGCTAAGTAGCTGAGGCTGGCTTTGAACTCACAATCCTCCTGCCTTAGCCTCCCGAGCTATTGGGATTACAGGTGTGTGCTACCACGCCTGGCCCCAAATCTGCATTTCTAAATGCAGTGTTGAAATAGAGATAGTATCATGTCTAATAATCACAGTGAGTTTTTTTTTTTAATGAAAAAATCCCAAAACTCTGCCTTGATGGAAACAATCAGTCTGCATGACTTACCTTTCAAACCCCTTCCTTTCGAATGTGCCATCTTTCTTTCTGGGTTGCTGGAATCTTTGGTACTGGCCAAGTTTTCTATAGGCAAATTTAAGGTCTGGAAAATACAGCTGAAGACTATCCATTGCTGCTGGTAGCTGTTTTGGATTTCTTCAGCTCTGGAGCTCCACGGCTTCCAAACAAAACCGTCAAGTTCTGGGGTGTTTGGGGCAAGGTATGGAGGAAAAGTTTGGAATCTTTTCCTTATTCCCTCCCAGATGTTAGAGATGGTGGGTTACTGGGCCTGGCCCTGTTTATAAGGGCAGAGGGTTCATCAGTGATGCGTTTGGCAGAACTGTGGGAAATTCCCAGTGGCTTAGAGGAATCTGAAACTCAGTAGAGAGAAAGTGAAAGAGACAGAGACACAATATCAGGAGGGGAAATTGAGGAAGTCTAACACCCATTGTTTCCCTTCTCTCCCTGGGATCCATTGTTCTTGTTTCTCCCTGGGGGTTGGTATTTTCCATATCCTTCAGTATCCTTCATAGATTCTTGAACAAGACAAATGGAGAAACAGTGTTCTGATTATCCAATCACCACCCCCCCCTTTTTTTTTTCTGCCAGGGATAGAACCCAGGGGTGTTTAACTACTGAGACACATCCTCAGCCCTATTTTTGTATTTTTA